TAACATTTTTAAACATTCTGAGATTGATTCTTAATATCTTTGCTGGTCAGGTGCATGGTGAATTGGTTAAATAATTAATACTTTCTACCTACATTCACTGAAAGAATTATTTGCTTGGCTATCTGCTCTTGAATTTGTCTAACCTTCACAGCTCGTGCCCTTCAATTTTTACTTTTTACTATTTTTCCTTTACTATTTTTTGCTAGACTATGGGGCCTATCTTGTTTAATTACAGTGGGAACTTGGAGAACTGTATTCCAGTTGCCTTGTTGTTGTTTACTGTTGATGATGTGCCCATCATGATGTTTTCACCTTCAGACAATATAGGAGAGTCTAGTGAGATTTGCAAACCTCCTGTGATAAAATGTTTAATTAGGACTAACATTCTTTCTTTGAATTGGTCATTAAATGATTTTTGATTCAACTATTAAGGAATTACAATTGTATAGTCAACACAGGATTAATAACCAAGTTTATTCATGTACAATTGGGAATTGTATATATCACAACTGTCATATGGCTGAGAGTGATTGAAATATTTATTTAAAGGGCTCAAATACAGAACTACAGTGTAGGGAAGTGGACATTATTATTTTAAAAAACAAATCAACGAAAGGCAATAGTATGTGTTCAAGAAAAACATTAGGCAAATAGCAGCTACCCCTTTTATATTGAGTGTTATATTGTGGTCATCTCTCATGCCGTAAGCTTGACTTATGTCTGTCATTTGAGTCTTACTAACTTTGTAGAAATGTCTAAGTCTCCATGGAGCATACATCCTATGAGGTTGTGTTTGTAAAGCCCAGGAATTTGCACATGGCAGTCCTTCGTCAATGTTAGGCTCTGTTCTTTGCTCCATGCTGCTGACACTTTGTCTGAATGCCTTGTCTCCAGGTCACATCATTCTCAGAGTGGTCTGCCCCAGCTTCCATAACCCCCATTAATGCCTATATAGGTTTCTGATCTCCACGTTGAGCAGGATTCTGTTTCTACTGTTCCCATAAGTATACTGTACACTATGAAATGTGACATGAAAATATTAATGGTGCATTTTTTTCTTTTTCTTTTTTTCACAGAAGTTTTCCCTTTATTGCTGCAGGATGTTGGAAATTTGTATGAGCTTTATTTATAAGCTTTTGGACCTTTTATGATTCTGGATTTGGGTTCCAAATTCAGCTAGAAGATTTAATATAAGGTGAAGATTGTGTACAAAGGTCATTTTCCCCTTCTGCTTCATGAGCAATATGCATTTAGCAATCATATTACCAAAACTGGGAGATATGTTTATGTTGGCCCTTACATTACTTCTACTCTTAATTCTACAGAACAAGATATCAGAATTATTTGTATCGACTTTTTGATCAAAGTCTTTAGTCATCTGGATCCATATTAATTATTCAACTCTATCTCTGTATGCTCCCTACTTAAAACCTCTGCTCCAGGGCTGATCTGCTCACGATCCTCTGAACGTATCATGAGCATTACAGCTGTCTTACCTGCACTCTTAAGCATCCTTCCAGCTAAAATAAACCATTCTCTCCCTTCCTCAAATGTTGTCTTCATTATAACATCATTTTTTGCTGTTCTAGAATACACTCATACTTCTGTTCTTTAATTCATTCAACAAATATTGCTTGAGTACATATTACTACCAGATAAATGGATAAAGACAAAATCCTCTGCCATCATGGAACAACACAGGCTATAGAAAATAATCAAATAATAAGCATAGCAGCAAAATATATTTTCTTTTTTTATTTCTTGATTTATTTTTATTTTATAATATAATACAAAGCGTTATAAATCTATAAAATTGTTCTGTTATTGTTTTTATACATTTTATTTTTTAATTTGTTTATTTTATCTCAGCATATTTTAGGAGTACAAATGTTCAGGGTACATTTGCCCCCTACCCCAAGTCAGAGCTTCAAGTGTATACATCCCCCAGATGGTGCACATTGCACTCATTATGTATGTATAAAATATATTTTCTGATATGATCATAACAAAGGAAAATTAGAATGATAGAAATGTTTTAATAGGATTTATTAATAATTGTTAATTACTATCTATGACACATTTAAACATTGTGCACTGGACTGTTGTTTATTGATGTGGTGATAGCTCTTCTCCTTAATTAAAGCATAAAATCAAAGAGGCTGAAATCATTGATGTTTTCAATAGAATTAACAGGATATGGAGAAGAAACAAGGATGCTTTTTAAGCTTTTATTTCTTTTCCCGCACAAAATGGCTTGCCATGGCAAGGTATGGAAGCACATTAAAACCTCACAATAACACAGATGCCCACCACCTTGATTGACTCTCCTGTGCCTCCATTCCTGTTTTCTAACAGGAGTGGAGAGCATTCCTATGTTCTGCTTGGGGATGAGTAAGAGTGGGAATGACTTGAGAGAGAAGGAAAGACTTGATTCTTGATAGAAGATTTACCACCAACTCAGTCTCAGCAAGTGAAGAGACAGAGGACATATTCTTATGTCCCTGGTGTCTGCGAGGCCCAAGGACCCCACTAATTGGGAGATTCATAGTATTGCAACCAGGATCCAGAAAGGCCTTGCTAGTCACAGAACCAAAAAATCTGCCCAGAATATTTATGATGCAGTAGACAAATTTCATTAGGTGGTAACAAATGGTGGCTGGGACCCAATAAATAATGAAACAGGGAAAATGAACCCTCATATCTATGACAATAGACATTAACAAGTTATTGCAGAATTATATTGCATATTGAAATTAAATTGTTTCATCTTTTGTTGTTAAAAACAAAGATGCCAATACCATTTTTCCATAGGTTTAATAAATATCTAATGTTGGTGCCATATGCACAGTACTAACTGATAATTCTGTAGGTATCAAAGCTTTTAACGTAATATTCATACAGTTTTGTAAAGCATTGCAACTTCTTTTTCATGGTTATAAAATTAAATATTTGGCAATGAATTTAGCACATAAGATATTAAAATTTATTTTTTACTCTTTTCTTCTAAATGATCTTTGTAAATAACTTTTCATAAAATTGATGGAGCAGTTTTCAGGTTTTTTCCCCTTGTCTGTTGGCCCCTGTGGAGTTCCCATCTGAATGTGAAAATCTATAGTAGATAGAGTTCTGTGGCTCCACAGGACATGATAATGGGCTACTTGAATTGGAGAAACAATGTATTTTCAAATGTTCCTTCTTAAAGAGCCACACTGGTCTTTCTATAAACATGTGAAAACCTTAACTTTTCTCCTGCTCTTTGGAGCTTGAAAATCAAATGTTCCTTTTGGCAAATTAATTTCTTTTTCCTCTCTTATTCATGAAGTCACCATTTTTAATTTTTATTTTTCCTTATATGTCCAACTTCAACAGGTGTGTTTCTTTGAAAATGCCTTGTCAACTATTATGTCCACCTATGAAAACAGATGGATGAACAAAATAGCTTGACTATACGTTTGTACAAATACTCCTGTAATGAGTGTTTAAATGGTACCAATCACCTGAAAAAAAACAGATACTAGATTTCATAATCACCAGGGGAGTTGTTAATTAAATATCCTAATTCTTTTCTTTCTGTTTTGATTTTATTCCTTATACTTCTATCAATTCAGACTCATTGGATTTTGGCTCTGTATTCCAGCCTGGTTTTCTCATTGGACATTTTTTAGAAATCTAATGAGTAAGAAAGCATCTTGCTAAGTGGCTGAGCTCATTAATACTTCCTGGTTACTGTGGAGACTAAAAGCAATGGAAATCCAAATTGAAATTAAACTGACAGGCTGAACTAAAATGCTGGCTTACTTATGGAGAGCACATCATGTTGCTCTGTCGTCTTTTCCAATTGATGTTCTTAATATTCAATCTTTTATTTTTAAAGATGACAATCTAAAAAGTGACAGTATTTATCAGTTAATACTTATCTGAAAATAGACATCAGATAACCCATACAGCTTAGCATAATATATAACAGAAGCTCTCTGAGGTTTAAATTGATTCATTTTGTATGAGAGATTACATAGGACTTTTGTTACAGGCTAAATGTTTGTGTCCCTCCAAAATTCATCTGTTGAAAACTAATCCCCCATATGAGAGTATTTGAAGGTGGAGCTTTTGGGATGTAGGTCATGATAGGGGACCCTTTGTAAATAGGATTAGTGCACCTATAATAGAGGGCCCAGAAAGCACCTTCTGCCAACAAAATGGCACCACCCATTATTGAAGAAGAGGGCCCTCACCTGACACCAAATCTAAAGGCACCTTGATTTTGGACTTAACCAGTCTCCAGAACTCTGAGAAATACATTTTGTTGTTTATAAGCTTCTCAGCTTATAGTATTTTATTACAGCAGTCCAAAGACACCTCTACTTTCTATTTACTTACTACTATTTTAAAATGTGAATGTATTCCTTCTGGATAAATATTACATATACTCATCACCTTTTACTCATTACTATAAGAACTACTGTGTGATACATTTATACCACATTATTTGTAAGTTAACTTTACCAATTTTAGACAAGTGTACCACCCATCCCCTTGTGACCTTTGCCTTTCTGGCTTTGCTGGTGCTCACAATTTCTTTTTTGATTTTTGCTATTTTAATGCAATGCTATATTTTACTCTAACACTTGATGTCTAAAGATATCCCCAACTTTAGCATGTCATGATCATATTGATGTATTTTGTGATCAATGAAAAAAAATGTAAGCTGAAAGTTATCTGTGCATCTCTTTTAAAGTATGCAAATGAATAAAGTAAAAAACATTGTACTTTTGTTAAAAATAATTTTCTGACATTTAAACATTGCTTTAGGCATAAAACAGATCTTTGATATAGACAGAGACTATAATTCTTCTTACAAATGGATTTTTATCCTAATTACAAACTTAATTTTATATATTTTTTTTAAGATTTTAGTTTGGAAAGAGGATGATATTAAAGATAAGTATTAAAATTGTGAAGTAAGATGGAAAGACTTGATACATCACCTTTTTTTTTTTTTCTATGTCAAACATTTTATTTGATGTTTCATGCTAGGTTGATTTTACACAAATAAAACAACTTTGTCGAACATTTTTTTTAATATAATGACTGTGTACATGGACAACTGAGAATAGAGAAAAGGCCCAAATTAATGTTTTAACAAATTACAAGCTCTTACTAAAGACCATATGCTTGGATTTTAAAAAAATAGTCCAATAGATGAGTATCTCTCATTCAATCTATCAGATTAACCAATCCTTCTTTTAATGAAACCAACACATTATAATGGTATAAATTTATCTTTTTAAACAATCCACATAAAAACATGTGTTCCATCTTCTATATGTAATCATTAGTAGTCTCTAAAATGGCAAAAGAAAATTGAATTTATATTAGCAAATGAAAGTGCAAGTTTGTACAGCTAGGCTCAGCAGCAAAAGTGGAGAACAAGAATGAAAGGTGAAGAGCTGATGGATGCTTTGCAGAAAGAGGACTTCTATGAAGGTCCGTGTCCTGTGCACCAAACACAGTCAACATTCCATCATTTTTTCATTGCTCTTAAACGAGCAAAACCAAATTCTTTTTTTATTTAAAGAAATATTAAATCTTTATTTCCCCCCCCCCCACACACACACATAATTTGTGATCAGGTAAGGCAAAGATAAGTTCCACCATCACTGGGGACAGCAGCAACATACAGATGTCAGAAATAGCCCTGAATCATCAGCAACATTCTCTTATGGTAACATTAGCAGGAATGCATCTAAGAAATCAAATTTGCAATGTCGTCACATTGTTCTAATTTATTTGATTAGTTTGTCTGGAAAAGCTTTATAAATACATTATTTAAGAGGACAGTAAATTATTTCCTTGCTCTGAAAAACAATGTCTTTTCACATTTTAAAACTCTTTAGTATATGTTTGCAAAAGGAATTGCAAGAAGACTGTGACAGCTGGGTTTGCAGAATGTCCATGTACAAGTTGCATTTATAAGAACTTGGTAATCTGCCTATAACTTGCTTCTACAAATAGAACTCTTTGCAATAATATTTAAACAAAACAGGCTCAAATACCTCCCCTATTCATTCTACTTGTAGAGCAAAGAGGTACTTATTTTTCAAGTATTGTATTGTCAAAGGTAATTTTTTTTTGCCAATTTTATATGTTAAGCTTAAGACCAAAATATCTATCTGAAAAAAATCATGCCTAGTCAGCCCATTTCTTTTATAGTCGTTAAATGCTCCTGTCTTTTAAAGAATGCAGAAAAATATTGATTTGCTAAGAAGGAGCACACCAGAAAAAGCTGTTTTAAAGGATTGGAAAATGAGGAGCATTTCTTTCTTTCCGTTGATGAAAATTATTAGAAAAGCTCCCCAGTCTGTTGTCTTCAGCTGGTTTTGATAAATTCTTTTTAAAACGAGGGTCAAGACATCTTTAGAAAACTGGAGGAGGGGAGATGCTCCTTAACAGCTTTGGTTCTTCAGAAGAAATGCTGATATCACTTCTGCGGTTTGTTGGGTTTGAACACCATCTACCTGAGGCAGGGGCCCAAGTGTCCCTTCATCATCAAAGGCCAAAATTGGATTCAAAGGAATTTCTGGGCTCTCACTGTTGGTGACATCTAACCTGGATGCTTTAGATCCAATGGGCAAGTTTATAATTTCTTCAAAATTTTCATTCTGAGCAGATACTCCATTTTCATTTGGTTGTTTTTCCAAATTGGGAGTGCTCTCCACGGTCACTTTTGATTGGTGTGAGGCAACCACACGTGAGCTGGTCACTGGCTCTTCATTTCCTGGGGAGTTTGTCACACGTGGAAGTACAGATACCTCTGTTCCTCCAGTGACAGCTCCCTTGGCTATATCACCATTTCTTTGATCAGTTGTTTTCTTATCTGTAGCTTCTGTTTTCCTGGTTCTTTTCATAATCTCCTCAAGTCGCTTCTTCCTCTCGAGGCGCTCCTGTTCTTCTCTCTGGAAATGCTTCTCTCGTTCCTGCCGGATCCTCTCCGCTTCTTCACGAACACGAGCTGCTTCTTCTTTCGAACAGCGACTGGCTCCACATTTATCTCTGCTCCGATACATCACCATTTTTAAAACCCTGATTTCTTCATCAGCAAAATTTGTTCTTTGGGGATAAAAACAGGATCTTTAATTTTGAGAAATCCTGATACTGTGGAAAAAGAATAAAATAGAGATTGAGAGCACCTGAGTGCTAATCCTGGCCCCACCACTTATTAACTGGATGTACTTGCAAAAAGAAACATATTCTGCCCAACTGCCCTGATAAGGTCATTGTAAGGATCAAAATAGTGTAAGAGTGCATTATAAATGATAAAGTCCTACCTAAGCCTAATCTATTAATATTTATTGCTGGATACTTGAGTTGCAAAATGAGCCTTATTTATAGTAGATGCATAATGAATTATTTTAGCTACATATTTTTAAATTGCAAAGTGATATATGATCCCTGGGAAAAGAGAAACAATATAAAAATAAAGACAAAAATTAATAAATTTTCTGTAAACTCCTTTCTTAACTCTCACACAGAAAAGTAATATCAAAAAGCCCAGCAGATAATTTTGTACAACTTTGTTTGTGCTCATGTAAATTATATAAATATAAAAAAAGGTTAACTTTGGTTTTACATTTGGTAATTATTCTTGTTTTTCTTCATTATTCCTTCATTTATGTATATTTTTATTTTTCTGCATTTGTTCTTCCATTTGCTTTTTACTTAAGAGTATGCTATGTTTGTATACTCCTTGTGATCTACAGATGAATGCTGGAAGATTTAACACATTTTTATTTATTTTTTTTTTAGGATATAGGCTGATGGTGAAATTAACACATTTTAAAAAATAACTTTATATTTTTTATATGGTGAGAGTACCATAATTACATATTCAACTATTCCCTTACTGATGTACATTCATACTGTTTCCAAGTTCTTGCCACTATAAAATATTCTGAATAAACTTCCTTCTGTAGCAAGGCCTTAATTTCTATTGGATAGATCCATAAAAGTGGGTCAAAATGTGCATTTTTAACTATAAAAGATATCAGATAATTTTGTAAATTCATATGTACAATAGCCATGAATAAACAGTGCCATTTTTTTTTTTTAATTTGTCCTTGACTGTCAAAGGGAGCAGACTGTCATGGGTGCAGGGCACCTAGTGAGGCTGGGGGTGGAGGATGTCACTTGATACCGATCCTTGATGCAGGGGGCTTTTGGTTTCATGGAAAGTTTGTCTCTTACTATCACTTATGGAACTTTGACACCAGCTTTTTAAATTATTTTTAATAAAACTATGCAGTACCATTAAAAAAATTGAATTTGGCTAATCTTATATATTGAGGAAAAAAGTCATCATTAATGCATCAATTGCCTTTTCTTTGACAATGAATTATGTTGTGCTTATTTTCATGTTCTAGTTTACTTATAGATTTTGCCTGCTTTATTCTTGGTCGATTAAGAAAAAAAATTATTATTTACATTTTACTTTCCCACTACTAGGAGGTAATAACTATGGCAATATCAATCTTTTGTTTAATATTTCTGTATTATTGAAGGATGTTATAAGACTCAATAATTAAATTGCCTTTAAAAATAATAGACAAAAGCTTAATCTCATCCATAGAAATTGTCTGGAGCAGTGCTGTCCAATAGAAATTTATGCTGTCATGGAAATGTTCTATGTCTGCACTGTCCAATGCAGTAGCTATAAGGCACATGTGACCAGTGAGCACTTGAAATGGAGCAAGTACCAAGGAACTAAAAGTTTAATGTTATTTAATTATAATTAATTTATGATTAAATCTAAATAGCCACACATGGCCAGGGGCTACTTTAATGAAGAAGGTAGAATTAAAGTTCTTTCATGTGTTTAGAATTGATTCTCTGGAAAAAAATATGTGGTTTTTTTAAACTTGAGAGTTGAAAATGTAGCAAAACGGTTCTTTTGCATGGACAGTGTGTACATGTTACTAAAGAACTAGTTGGTGCAATTCAACACAATCAGCCAACTTGATCTATTTTGGTATGTCAAATTAACTCACTTGCAGTTAGGCTTAGCAGTTAGATACTTATCAGTCAAAAACAGTAAAGGACTCTGCTAATTGGTCTACTATGAGGAAATGGCTCCATAGTATTGACTGTCAAGCTATTCTATTAATATTATGTGTTAAAATATTTTGACAAGATATGTATTTTTAATTCAATAGCATATACTTTTATGTAATTTCTTATCTGTCTCCTACTTATTAAGGGGAAACATAACATCATCTTGTGTCTAAATTCTGCTTCATGTAATTTTGGCAACACTGGATTGTTTTAAAAAATAAATTTAATGGAAGAAAAGTATTTAATTATTCTTCTTGAATTTTGAATTTCCTACAATTAGCACTTGAAACAATTCTCTCTCTTTCTCTCTCTGTCTGATTTGATATCAGATTGAGTCCCATCTACTCATGAGGTTTTAAAGCAACTACTTAGAAGTAGGATTATTTGCTACTCCTATTTTTTTCTTTGCAGAAAGGAAAGTCAAGAAATCTGCCTATTTCTAACACTAATCTGGACATCCCAATTTCTAAACCCTACCAATGTAATATGCAAATACTGGTGCCTAGAGTAACAGAGAGTGTAATCCTATTATAGTCTCAAATTTATCTGAGTCCTCAGAAATCCTGATTAGTCTTGGTAATTACCTAGCTCCTTTCTTGGATATTATTAGTATCTCTGGTGGTTTCACATCCTTCCATGTGAGAAAATATGATTATGGCTACAGCTGCTCCCAGGATTCTCTTCTGTCAGAGAAATATCACAGAATAATCTCTTTTACTTCAATTGGAGTTTGAGTTTTTATAAAAATACCTAGATGAATATTTTGTTAAACAGCAATCAAATTAAAAATTATCTATCTCAAAAGTGAATTCACCCTGAAACTTAGATCTTTGCAATATTTGTTCTATTCTACTTTATTATCACTATAAAATAAGCAAAAATGGATTCCTATTTTAATCCCAGTTTTATATATCAGTAATAGAATCATGTGAACTTTTCAAGTGTGCTCAAATTTATTGTTTTGTTTTGTTTTTTTTAAGGTGAAGTGGGGACTAGAACATACATAAGAGCCCAGACAGGATTATTCCTTAATCCCATAAAGTATAAAAAATATGGTTTTAGAGACATAGTTTCCTGGATTGAGCTATCATTTTCATGCCTTTTTTTTAATCTGTAAAAATTGAACTGCTACTTATCTCTGTACTGTTACAACAGTTAAATAAGATATGTTATGTTCCAGTGGTAGTAACATGTCCACCAATATATCCAGCATTAACTAGCTTCTTATAAATGATATATTCTTTTATTTTTTCTTTCTTGTTAGTTTTATTCTGACAAGGTATTTATGCTACCTATGATTTATTCACAGAATCACTTTAAAAATTTGGTAATGTTAAGTAGTGGAAAAATTCCTCATAAATAAAATTTATGTGAAGTTTAATAGCAATGATACCAAAACACTGGAATATAAGTATATACCATTTAATATTTTTGAGCACCCATTTACTTTATTTATTCTTTATATTTAATACAAATAAGTAATTATTTGATTAAATCAAAGGTTACTTGGGTTCCTAGAGTCTGGAAACTACTAGTATGAAAAATGAAAAGATGGTTATTATGTAATGGTGAAGGGAACAATTCAATAAGAAGACATAACAACCCTAAATATTTATGCACCTAACACAAGGGGCAACAAGATTCATAAAGAAAACCCTACTTGATCTAAATAAAATAAAAAGCAGTGTCATAATAGCTGGGGACTTTACCACCCCACTGATTCAGTAGGCCATATCCTCCAAGCAGAAAATAAGCAAAGAAATGATGGAATTTAAATGGAACTCTAGAACAACTGGGCCTTTTATAGGCATTTATATTTTACCCAAAACCACTGAATACACATTCTATTCATCAGCTCATGGAATATTCTCTCAGATTGATCACATCATATGCCACAAAACATATCTCAATAAGATAAAAAAATATAGAAACCATACCATGTATCTTCTCAGACCATAAGGCAATAAAATTAGAAATGATTTCTAATAGAATAACTCAGCCCTACACAAAGTCATGGAAATTAAACAACCTACTGCTGAATAGTTATTAGGTAAACTAGGCAATTAATATGGAATTCAAATTATTCTTCAAACTAAATGCCAAAGGGGACACAAGTTATCAAAATCTGTGGGATTAAGGAAAACCAGTCCTAAGAGGAAAATTCATAGCCATAAGTGCCTACATCCAAAAGTCAGAAAGATCACAAATAAACAATCTGAGGGATCATCTCAAGGAATTGGGAAAGGAATAGAAAGCCAATCCCAAACCCAGCAGAAGAAAAAAATAACTAAGAAGATCAGAGCAGAACTAAATCAATAACAAAACAATTTTACAGAAGATTAATGAAACAAAAAGTTGGTTCTTTGAAATTATGAACAAAATTGACAGACCCCTTGCAAGATTAACCAGAAACAGAAAAGAAAGGACCCTAGTAAGCTCAATCAGAAATGAAAAAAGGAAATATTATACCTGATGCCATAGGAATACAAAATATCACCTCTGAATACTATAAAAATATCTATGCATATAAGCTTAAAAATGTTGAGGAAATGGAAAAATCCTTGGAAACACACAACTTCCCTGGGCTCAATAAGGAAAAATAGAACTCCTGAACCAACCAATATCAAGTAATGAAATTAAAGCAATAAAGAAATCTCCCAATTAAAAAGAATTCCAGACCAGATGGTTTCAAAGTTGAATTTTACCAGACCTACAAAAAAGAACTGTTACCTATACTGTAGAAATTATTTTATAACATAGAGAAGGAAATAATCCTCCCCAACTCATTCTATGAAGCCAATATCACCTTGATACCGAAGCCAGGAAAGGACACAACAACAACAACAAAAAAAGAAAACTATAGACCAATATCCCTTATGAATATAGAGGCAAAAACTCTCAATAAAATTTTAGGAAACTGAACTCAGTGGCACATCAAAAGAGGAAGAATCAATAGCAATCAAGTGAGCTTCATCCCAGAAACGCAAGGATGGTTCAACATAAACAAATCTATAAAAGTGATTCACCACATAAATAGAAGTAAAAACAAAGACAATGTAAGTCTCTCAATAGAACCATAAAAAGCATTTGACAAAATTCATACCCTTTTATAATAAGACCTCTTAACACAATAGGCATAGATGGAACATACCTCAATATCATAAAAGCCATATGAGACAAACCCACTGCCAACATCATACTGAAAGAGGGAAAAATTGAAAGCATTGTTGCTTAGATTTTGAGCCAGAGAATGTTGCCCACTGTCACCACTTCTGCTCAACCTATTGTTGAATGGAAGTCTTAGCCAGAGCAATCAGACAAGAGAAGAAAATCAAGGTTATCCAAATGGGGAAAGAAGTCAAACTGTTGCTCTTTGCTGATGATAAGATCATATATTAAGAAAACCCCAAAGATTCTGCCAAGAGACTCCTGTAATTGATAAATAAATTTAGCAAAGTTTCAGGGTACAAAATCAACATACATAAATCAGTAGCATTTCTATATGCCAGCAACAATCAAGCTGAGAATCAAGGCTCAATACCTTTCACAATAGCAACAAAGAAAATAAAATACCTAGGAATATATTTAACTAAAGAGATGAAACACCTCTAGAGGGAGAACTATGAAACACTGAGGAAGAAAATCACAGAGAGTGTAAATAAATGGAAAAATATATCATGCTCATGGATTGGCAGAGTAAACCTTGTTAAAATGTCTGTACTTCCCAAAGTGATTTACAGATTCAGTGCAATCCCCATTAAAATCCCAACATCATTTTTCACAGATCTAGAAAAATATTTCTACACTTCATGAGGAACCAGAAAAGACCACAATTAGCTAAAGCAACATTAAGCAAAAGAGTATTAAGCAACATTAAGCAAAAAGAACAAATTGGGAGGCATCATTTTATCAGATTTCAAGCTATACAATAAGGCTATAGTAACCAAAACAGCATGGCATTGATAATCATCAGGGAAATACAAATGAAAACCACAATGAGATATTACTTATACCCAGTGAGAATGACCTTTATCAAAAAGTCCCAAAGTAATAAATGTTGATTTGGATGCAGAGAGATAGGAGTACTCTTACACTGCTGGTGGAACTACAAACTACTACAACCTCTATGGAAAGTAATGTGGAGATACCTCAAAGAGCTACAGGTAGAACTACCATTTGATCCAGCAATCCCATTACTGGGCATCTACCCAAAAGAACAAAAGACATTCTATAAAAAAGATACCTCCACTAGAATGTTAATAATTTTTTATCTGTGCAATAAACCCTTCATATTTTCCTGTCTCGGAAGGTACATTGTCTGTACATACACTCGCTGAATTTACCAAATTCACTCCAACTTCACGACATTTATCTTGAAAATTTTCAAGCATATCTATTTCCTGTGCTCTGTTCACAAGAGTGCCCAAAGTGAGCAACTCTTCATAACAAACAAAAATCCTCTGTTATAACCAGAATGAAGTATAAAATCTGTGCTGAGTCAGTAGTATCAGTTGTTTCATCGAAAGCAATTGAATAATATATATTTTCCTTTTGAAGTATTGCATGAAGTTGTTATGTTAAGTTGAAGGCTAATTCATGCTGCCAATCAGTTATGGTTCTTGAAGGAGGCAGTTGTTTGTACTTTGAAACATTATCAGGGTCTAAACATCCTACAACTTCAACAATGTATTCTTTCATAATTTCTACATCACTGAATGCCTTCCCTTTTTTTCCCTGAGTATATAAGCTACTTTTTAAGTTGCTTCAGTGGCATTATTTCCAGGTCTTATTAGTGCTTGAAAGAATTGTCTTTGCTTTTGCTTTTCATCTTTTAACTTCTTCAGTGCAACCTTTCACACCTGTCCCTCTAATTTAAAAAAATTGAGGTCCTTATGAGTGTTATGATGCTAATGAGCATTTAATTTCTCTGTTGGTACTGCAGTATGACAAAGCAAGGAAATAATCTTACCTTTAGCAGAAACAAGATAATATTGCAATTCCCAATCCTCATTAAAAAATCTGTTTTCTTCCTTCAGCATTCTCTTGGTCTTCTTTGACTTGTTGGACTGTTTAGCAGACAGAATTAAAAAATACTGTCGAGGTGTGCATCTATTGAAAAATTCCACTTCAAACAGAAACACAGTGCACCGTTGTCAAAAGCTGAAAACAGACTGGCATATTAGACACCCATAAACTCTCACCAACCAGCCCCATGCAGTAGTGGTGAGAGTCAGGCAAGGGAAGCTAGAACTAAATCATGAGCATAGCAGCTGTCGATTTAGCTTACTAAAGCTTACTTACAGTTTGGCTTAATGATGTTCTAATTGTGCTGATCAATCTGGGAGGATTATTTGGCTGAAACTTATTTTATTCTTTGGTATTACAAATACATTCATTTAAAAAATAAACTAAAAATATAAAAGATTATAAAATGTATTAATAAAAATAAAAGGATTTGTTCTATAAAATTTGGATTCAGTCAAAAGGTCACTATTAAGGACCACATGTGGCCTTAAGGCCAAAGGTTCCCCTCCCCTGTCCTAAACTAACCTTTTTTTAATTGCCAGTGAAAACCACTTTTACGGAAAAGAGTCAATCTATGTTGCTTTATCGTTAGGTGTTGGATTGTGAGGTAACAAATGTGGCTTGGGGAATGCCTACTTATACATTATCACAGAAGCTTATTTTCTTATGACTTATGTTAGCATTCCAGTGTATAAATAATTTGTGTTTGATAATTTGGTGCCTTTTCGGCAATTGTCTTGCTTTGAGGCTACTTATGACATGTTCAACTTATAAAATAATATTGGGATAATTCAAAATAATTGTTAGCTATAGACATTTTCTAACATAACATGTGAGTTGGGGACGAATATTGTTACTGTACATGAGTTTTACCCTTAGACTCAGGTGAATGTGTTATATAGTGGGTTTCACACTAGCATTTCCTATTTCCTTGCCTTCACTTATGGTGACACTTTGATCAAAGGTGGCAAAGCGTGAAATTATGGCCAGATGTAAAACTGTCACATGCTATTTCAAAGTCCTTCTGCAGTTGAAAAATTTCCTGATTATCTGGACCTACCATGGGAATTAAAATTCAGTGTGCCTGACATTACAGCATGTTTTAACAAGAGCACAATTATATTCCTACCTTGTTCCAATGTAGTTGCCTAGTCAGAATTGTTAGACAAATCCATAGGGGATAGGAGCTGTCACCAAGCATCAGCTCACATGGGAAAGTAAAATGAAGTCAGTGATTTCTTCCTTTATAAAAATAACTAATAGTATTGTATTTAAAAATATGTGCTCTAGGCCTTGAGCAGGCCCTGAGAATGTAAGAAACTCAGTCTATTTTCAAATTATATGGTAAAATCCAATATTTTATTTAATAAGAACTATTAGTTATTTCCTGCTTCTTTAAAAAAATAATTCTAGGACATATGCAGCAACCATCACAATCATAAAAATAAGACATTTTGGAAATATGTCTGCAATATTGTCAGCCTTATTTTTATGAATAAAAGAAGCTCCTTTGTGAGCTTCATTTTTATTGAAAAATATTGATTGAACATCTATTTCATATCAGGCAATTTGCTAGGCTCTGGGGTACAAGAAATGCATAAATTCAGTTCCTGCCTGGAAGGAACTCACAGGCTGGCAGAGGAGACAGAAATGCAAATAAATTTAATTCCCTAGTCAGAAAGAAAAGATAAAGATAAAATAAATAATTACAACCTAAAGAAGATAAGAGTGTCTCATAACACAGGCTCAACAAAATGCTCAGCTCTAATACCAACTGCAGAAAACTTATCTGCAAAAAATAGTAGTCATTCCTAAAAGTTTCATTGTTCTAAGAAGAAGAAAAATGTGCTAATTCAATTATTTGTAATAGTTTATGATTAATTTTGTGTCTTCAAGAATCACTTAAATTAACTAATGTTTGACATTATCAATAACAAAACAATAAGGCTTTTTTTAAAACTCTAACCTTACTGACATTTGTGTTTACACTTAAGAGAAAAAAAAGAATTCTAATATAACCACAAATGTAAAGCAATGTGAAAACTAAAAGGGAGGGAGGAAGTTTTATTGATGTGTCTCAGTAGCTCCATGGTAGAAAGGTGGAAGTATGCAGAGGTGTCTGATCTTCTATTCTACTTCCATGATAGCAACTCAGTATTCATCTGCATCCAATATGAGCATCAACAAAATACATATTTGAAGAAAGAGTCATATAGGTTGACTGATTATTTTTCTACAATTTTAATATCTTAAGTAGAGTTTTCCACTGCAATGGAAGTAAGAGTAGTTTAATCTTATTGAAAATTTGACTGAAATCTTTAATTTTACTTAGTTTTATTTTGTTTTGTTTCCTCCAAGTATCATGGTTTCCACTCATATTGTGGTTAGAAGAATACCAAGTATTCCAAAATTCTACACTTTTCTCCCCAAATATTACTGGGGTACAGATGGATTTAGTTACATCGGTTGCTTTTGTTATGATTCAATCAGAGCTATAAGTGTGTCCATCACCTAGATATGGTTAATTGTACCCAATAGGTATATTTTAGCCCATCCCCTCCTTTGTCTTGCTCCCTGATTGATTTTGGCTGAATTTTACTTCCCTCTGTGCACACTTGTGCTCATCGGTTAGTTCCAATTTAATAGCAAGTATATGTGGTATATGTTTTTCCATTCTTGAGATACTTCACTTAGGACAATGGCCTCCAGTTTCATCCAAATTGTTGCAATAGGCATTATTTCATTCTTTTTTATGGCTAAGTAGTATTGCATGGTATACATATACCACATTTTGTTAATCTATGTATAAATTGATGGGCACATGGGTTGATTCCACATCTGTACAATTGTGAATTGTGCTGCAATAAACATTCAAGTGCAGGTGTTTTTTTGATAGAACACCTTCTTTTCCTTTGGTTAAATCCTCAGTAGTGGGATTGCTGCATTGAATGGTAGGTCTATTTTTAGAACTTTGAGGAATCTCCATACTGTTTTCCAAAGAGGCTGTACTAGTTTGTAGTCCCACCAACAGTGTATAAGCATTCCTTTCTGTCTGCATCCACACCAGCATCTATTGTTTTGGACTTTTCAATAAAGGCCATTCTAACTGGGGTAAGGTGATATCTCATTACAATTTTAATTTGCATTTCCCTGATGATTAGTGACACTGAGCATTTTTTCATACTTTTGCTGGCCATTCATCTATCTTTTTTTGAAAAGCTTCTTTTTTTGTCTTTTGCCCACTTTATAATAGAGTTGTTTGATTTTTTTTCTTGCTGATTTGCTTAAGTTCTTTGCAGACTCTGATTATTAGCCCTTTATTGGATTTATAGCTTGAAATGTTTTCTCCCCTTCTGTAGATTATCTGTTTGCTTTGTTGATTATTTCCTTAGCTGTGCAGAAGCTTTTTAATTTAATCAAATACCACTTACTTATTTTTATTTTTGCTGTGATTGCTGTTGGGGTCTTTTTCATAAGTCCTTTGTTTCTTTGGTTCCTCTCTTTCTACAATCTGATCTGAAAATTTTCTCCTGAGTTTATGAATATAACTCATTCCTATTAGTTAAATTTTATAAATCTCTCTTCTTTTATATAAAAGATATATCTTATTAATTCACCATTTGTGAATATTTCTTACTCAATATGCCACTAAGGATCAAACAACAAGTGGGAAAATAAATAAAATTAAATGTTAAAAGTACCGTGTTGTGATAGTTTGGAAAATCATATTCCATGTTTTGAAGAAATGTTTAGTTTCATGAAGGAGAGCAAATAAATATGGGTTGATGGATTATATGGCGTTTTCCTAAAGGAACTTGATATCCCAATCTTGAATTGAGAAAAAGAGAAGTAAAACAGAGGAGGAAGTTAAAAATGTTTTAATGTATCCCTTTGAGTGAAGTAGGAACAACTTCGTACTCAGTAGATGCTTTTTCCCCCTCAGTCTTGATAAATTTGCTATACCAGGCAAAATAAAACAGTTTAGCCAAAAGAACGGGTGTAGTCTTGGGGATAAATAAGCCAATTAGGAGTTAGCTGTCAAATCTTACATGGCAAACTCCTTCGAAACCAAAAGCAGAAAAGAGTTAAATGATAGTTCCAATCTAGGGATGCTCTATTGTGCACTTGTGTTTGGAAATGATGCTTTGAGACTGACTCAACTTTACTGCCTGTTTTCTTCTCCCATCCTACCTTGTCCTACACTCTGCCCATAAGTTTAAGGCTTAGACAGTGTAAAGCCATGAGTTATGTAAGAGAAAAAGCATTGACTTTTTATCCATTGTGGTTTGCACAGTCAAGGAAATTTATCATTAGAGCAAATAAACAACCTACAGAATTGGAGAAAATATATACATGCTATACATCCAATAAAGGGCTAATTATCGTAATCTACAAAGAACTCAAACAAATCAGCAAGAAAACATCAAACCAACCCATTAAAAAGTGGCAAAAGAAGGCCAGGCATGGTGGCTCACGTTTGTATTCCTAGCACTCTGGGAGGCCAAAGCAGGTGAATCATTTTAGCTCAGGAGTTTAAAAACAGCCTGAGCAAGAGCAAGACCCTGTCTCTACCAAAAATAGAAAAAATGAGCCAGGCATGGTGGCGCATGCCTGTAGTCCCAGCTACTCGGGAGGCTGAGGCAGAAGGATCACTTGAGCCCAGGAGTTTGAGGTTGCTGTGAGCTAAGCTGACACCAGGGCATTCTAGCTGGGGCAACAGAGTGAGACTCTGTCTCAAAAAAAAAAAAAAGATATGAAAAAAAGCTTTTCAAAGGAAGACAGACTAATGGCCAATAAACATATGAAAAAATGTGCAGCATCTCTAATCATCAGGGCAATGCAAATTATAACCACAATGAGATAGCATTTAATTCCAGTGAGAATGGCTTTTACCAAAAAGTCCCCCAACAACAAATGTTGGTGTGGATCCATTCGTATACTTCTGGTGGGACTGCAAGCTA